TGCTAATCCCCTGCTTTCCAACCAAAAGGTGTTAGCTGTACTCTTGATGTGGTTCCTGCTGCTTACATGGCAAGAATGCTGGGTGTTGGAGGGTGCCTTTGATCTGATGCATATGCATGGGAATGATAGTATTATACCAACTGCATCTAACTGCCTATTCAGTGAAGTTTCTCACAGAACCAGAAGGGGTCTGGTTCTCACCAGTCTCTTGGCTTATTCCTGAATCTGCTGGCCTTGTCATTCTAGCTAAGAATTCTGATTCAATTTCTTCCAGTTCTTATTCAGATTATAATACCTTGGGATTATGTATTTTGGAAGAATGGCTTGGTCCCTAAATGCATATTCTCTCTCTCTCTCTCTCTCTCTCTCTCTCTCTCTCTCTCTCTCTCTCTTTCACACACACACACACACACACACTCAGAGGCTTGAACCGGTTCATGTCCTCCTGTCCAAGACTGGACCACAGCCATGGAGTAGTGAGATGAGGGGAAAACTGGTAGAAATAGCATTCTCATGTTAGCTTTCAAGATACTTGCTCTTCCAGCTATGTCTGGTGCTTTCTAATCACAAACATGGAAGCTAGAATGAAAGTGCTTCTAACCTATCCCTGCTGCTGTCAACTCATTGTTTTATTAATTAATCAATTTATTAAAAACTTTTCTGTCCCTTCCCCTACAGAACATCTTGGGATGGCTTTCAATAAATAAGTACAATAAAATAACCCCCAGAGCAGCAATTACCCACCTAACCCATTCCTAACCCAATGGAGAATGGAAGCAATGGTGGCTTGAGACTGTTGATGCCAGATTTGGTGGTCAGGAAAACTAGTGGATTAAATTTTCTCAGCTGCCTGAGTAACATGAAAATGCCACCAGTGTCCAGTGCCCTGCCTGGGATTAAGTAAATTATGTGAAAACTTGGAAACTACTGGAGATTTCTACTTATCTACCTACCTACCTAATTACCCTTTCTGGCATTTTTAGCACCACGTGGGGCAGGAATGTTCACAGGATGAGAAATACAGAAAAGGACAATGCTTGTAAGCAGAAAGAAGAGAGGGCCAACATGTCTGTCTCTTCATGTCCCTACCCGGTGCAAGGCAGGGAAGCCAGATAAAGGCCATGCAGCAGTAAATGCTACCAAGGAGGGTGGAGAGGATGAGGAAGTTCCTGCTGTGCTTCTGCCTTGCTTGGTCCTTGCTGGCAGGGCTTTCAATTGCAGCAAACTCTGCAATCAAAAGCATCTATCCATCCATCCATCCATCCATCCATCCATCCATCCATCCATCCATCACACATTAGTACTTTCAGACTGAGCTTTTAGGGATTTAAAAAGTTTGATGTGGGTGGAGATGCATTGGGAAATACAGAAATTGAGAGAAGAGCTTGGGTAATACACTTCATGCCATCAGGCTTCCTATTGTATGGAGGGCTTTGTACCTTAGCTTCTTAAAATTTGAAAAAGCCACCAGCATGAGCATTGGATCTCGGAGAACCACATTTTATGGAGTCCCTTTGAGAATGATGCTAGCATGAACACTGAATTTTTTTAAAATAAAATTGATCAAGAGTCACTGCAACAGATGTTCTGCAAAGATTGGGGATGATGTGGATCTCTGACAAGAACATTTTTGGGAGTTTTGTTAAAGAAAGCGATTAGTGCTGCCATGCAGGACAAGGTTACCTTTTCATAAACTTGGTGCAAAACTGACCACTTGCTCTACAGCCCAAACTGTATGTCCGGAGACCTAGGAAATGGTGCATCTGGTACCACTGACTGCAATCTGAATGAACCCTACACTGTTTTCTATCCTGTGAAATCAGAAGTGCAATTCAGCATGCCTTCAGTCTTGAACCAGAAAGTCCATGCAGCTCACAACCCTTTTGGTCCCGCCAGTCAAACCCTTTTGCTGGAAAATGACAGCAAATTAAGCAACTGATCTAAAGCAGTGGTTTTCAGCCTTTTTATAGCTGGGGACTGGCAAAAATAGGATTTTTTTCACAGACGGCTGAGGCAGAAATAAAAAGCATTATAAACATAATATAGTATTGTGGGTATTATTTTTTAAATATAATACTAAAATGATAATTCTCTAAAATAACCAGAAACCAAGCAGTAAAAAATGGTAATAAAAGAATAAAATGTTGAAATTAAATGCATTCAAATACACTGCAAATTGTAGAAAGCAATGTTTAATTCAAATAAAGCTAATGTGAAATCAGCTGTTGCTTCTTTTTGAGAACGCTTGATAGTGTGGCTGCAGTGTTGTTTCCGAGAGACGAAGCACTGCACTGACATCCATTCTGTTTCTCTGTTTGGTTTTTATCAGGGACAGGCTGAAAAACTCTTTTCACACAATTATGTGATAGAAAGTATGAGTAACAATTTAATAGCTCTGTAACTTAGGGATGGATATTCTTTTTCCTGTGATATCCAAAACTGTGACAATGATTGCATTTTATGTTTGGACACCAGACTGATATCTGAGCTCTTTCTCACCTTCTGCTACAATCAGCTGGGTTTCCCTGGTGAGACAGCAGCACTGAGCGAGCCGGAAGAGTGGTCTGAGCACGAGTTGCTGCCCTTATATGCAGCTCTGAGAATACCTCTCCCACGACTGCTCCCACCCCCTCAGTGCACCATGCAGGTAAGCCCAAGCTGCCTGGCTCTGGACTTGCACCACCTGACAAGGAGCTATGATCAGCAGGAATGCCTGGAAGATGGACATGCCACTCACTTTGTCAGGTGGTGCAAGACCAGAACCAGGCAGCTTGAGGACACTTGTCCAGCAGAAAAGGTCTAACCAGGCACATGGCTTTGGGACTCAAGGAACCCAGTATGTAATAGCATAAATGGTGGCCAGTGATTTCACCAAAAGTGGTCTATTGTTTTGTAAGCCACCCCGAGGCTCTTTGCAAATGGGGCGGCATAGAAATGTTTTAAATAAATAAATAAATAAAATATTGCATGTGGTGAATGATCAGAGCACAAAGGAACCGCAATATAAATACAGAACTTATTTATACATGGTAAGGTCTTCAAAAAAGTCACACTCATGGGCTAATTCTCTGGCACCATTCAGTAAGCTACTGAAAATAACCCTCAAATCCCAGGTTCTGGAGGAATCCAACCAAAGTGATAGCTGCTCTTCAACAAAAGTTCATGACTCCAGAAGGTCACTCCTTTAGTGTTCCACAAATTGTAGTCATATCAACAAATCACCTGTTATTGCCCCGGGCATCTGAATTTGGTGGTGCAGCTTCTTTAAGCCATTCATTGCATCACGGAGCCTCCTGATGAAGGCTGTGCCAGAGGCAAATACCCTGCAAGCAAAAATAAGATGGCTGACCAACTGCACAAGAGTGATCTCTGTGACTGAACAATGTGCCCTTTATCATGTAAGAGCATGTAATTTATAAGCGGGTAATCTAATATCCTGCTGGGTGGAATCAAGCTCAATTCCCAAGGATACCGTAACTGGTGAAGGGCCTTCAGTCTTTTTCATTGTAGGGGGAATGCCCAGTCCTCCTGAGATGAAGTCCTGCATTAAGCAAGTACACGGATTCCTCTTTTTACAGGGCAGCAACCAAGAATAAACCAAATGATAAACTGTACTATGTTGACCATTCCTCAGAAACTCAGGAAAATATGCCTATATATATAAAAAAAACCAGGGTGCCAGTTAGTCCACATCTGAATGACTTGTCTTTTCTGGGATCCTTTCTCACCCTTTCTCCCCTCCTAAACCTCTGACAATAGGGAGAAAACGTCAATGTTGTCACCATTCCAATCTGATAAAAGGCAGCAGGAGATATCCTGGAGGGCTAGAGGTTGTACTGGTTAGTATCATTAACTGCCACCTTAAGTTAATAGTCAACTGACTCAGCTGTCACAGCTTTGCCAGGATAGAGACCTTTTCAGCAGGTCCCTGCCAAACAAAACATATATCTCATCGGCTGATGCAGCAGATGTCTCTACCTGTGCAAGCAGGCAAGCCTCAAACCCTGTGGTCTGGAAAGATATCCAAAAGAATGGACCATTCCCTGAACTTTCAGCCAGAAGACCTATGTCCCAAGAGACCTGCCTCCAGAAGAAGGAGTCACTAAATCTCCTAAAACCGCCTTGAGAAGTGACACTGTGGCATGCAGAGCAGAGGTGAAAGCCATGGTTCCAGAACCAGCAGACTGAGCAATTCATGACAATGTTACTGCTTAGGCACTAATACTGGCCCAATACACCTTGCCTTAAGCATAGGCCAGTGAAGCTTGTGGTATCAGGTCCACCCTACGCATAGACATCAAGCTGTGGCGTGGAGGTGACTGTAGGCACCAGCAGTGGGGCAGCTGAAGGCAATGTCCTAATTATAAGGGCTAGTTTCACTGAAGCTGTATCTACAAGTTACCTGACATTGAATCGAATGGGGAAGTATTGGATAGTACAGAGACCCAGGGCAAGTACAGGGCAGGTTTAGACAGGTGATGAGAGGAATCAGCTTTTACAGTGGGAATAGGGGATGCTGAACTCATACAGACCTCAAGTGTATCTAACAACATGCTTTAAATTACTCTAACCTTGCTGTAGTTGAGTGGACCTGCCCACCATTTGGGATAAGTGATTGGGTACAGGGATCCTCTCATCTGTTCCACAGAGTCCAGGTAGGCTAAATTAAGGGGATACCTGGGATCCTTTCCTCCTCTGAGGAAGAAATTGTCACTGTTTGCTGGCACTTAGCTGTGAACTTGGGGAGCTTTCTCCTCCTTACTACCACCTTGTGCTGTTTTGAGCAGGCATTAAATCACAAGATAATTTCTAGAAAAAAGTGAATGCAAAGTCATACATCTAAGAAAAAAATATGACAATGATCAAGTCATTTCCTTATAGTGACCTGTTGCAGCTCTTTAGGATTTCAGGCAGGCGTCTTTCCAGTCCTACCTGGAGATGCAAGGGATCAATCCTCTGCATGCAAAGCAGATGCTCCACCACTGAGCCACAGAACCTCTTCAAATTGGTTAGATGTCATTAAATAAGAGGCAGAGCCTTAACCAGGTGTTGTACAGGCCAGTAGGACTTCTTCCATTCTTATCAAGGAAGGTACTAACCTTCTCTGCTTTCACAAACGACTGCCAATGCTGACTGTTAGTAGCTCTCCAATAATGCAGATAGGCTACTTCTCCAAGCCTCCTACCTGGAAACGCTGGGAATTGAACCCGGCATCTCTGGTATCCAAAGTGAGTGTTCCACCACTGAGCTACAGCCTCTCCCAACAGACAGGAAGAGCTGCATAGACTACAGCAATTCTCATTTTCATAACAACTAATAGTAACAAGGAAAGAAACATAACCCTAATTCTAGCATGGAAAGCAGGAGCTCCACCAACCCTGTAATAAGTACAGCAGGTAGGTATAAACAAGAGCTAATGAGGGTTTATCAAACCTTGGTAAAAGCATGTGTGAGGAGGTTGTGAGGCTATGTAGGAATCCTCCACTCCAAGCTGCCAACAAACTATAATGGATAGGTGGGCAGAGAGGCAGTTCTCATAGCCTTCAGATGCACATCTGCTGGAGAGTGACTTACAGGTCTGGATCGAAAGGGAGCCAGGTTAGCCCCATGGCCATGGCTGCATGTTTTAGCACATGAAAACATCATCAAAGTCTTCTAATGTTAGAAGCAATTTTAGGCAAGAGGAAAAGGTGATCTTTGAAATATTTATTTATTATTTATTTATTTGATTTACTTGTCTCCTCCTCTTGGTCATGCCCCTACAGCACTAACCCTGTGAGGTAGGTTGGGTAGAGAACTTGTGACTGACCCAGAGTCACCCCGTTGGCTCCATGGCTGAGCAGGGACTAGAACCCAAATCACCTGAGTTCCAGTCTCACACTCTTAACCACTACACAACACTAGTGCTCAGTATCTCAGTATCCTAAATATCTTTCTTAGGGTTTTATTGTTTTAAAGCATTGCCCAGCACTGGGCTGAGGAACCATATGCCTCCAGGGGTGTGTGTGCTTGACCTCCAGAACGCCTAGAATGCCTTGTGTAGCCTAGAACTTTTCTCAGCAGCTCCCCATACCTTTTTCATCTCTCCTTCTCTCTGTTAGAGATGCAAATATTCACTCTGATTTCAAATAGCTGTAGAAGATCAAAAGTTCACTCCACAAGAAGTTAAAGAGACATCTGTTGAGATGCTGTTATATTGTCTAGTATTGCTCAAATTGACATGTAACCTGTGTATATACTCATGTTCTTGCAGTTCGAAAGCATGCAAATGCAAGAAGATAAAAAGGTACCACTTTGGTGGGAAGGTAACAGCATTCGGTGCACTTCAGTGTTTAGTCATGCCGGCCACATGACCACGGAAACAGTCTGTGGACAAACACTGGCTCCCTTGGCTAGGAAACGGAGATGAGCACCACCCCCAAGACTCAGACATGACTGGACTTAACGTCAAGGGGAAAACTTTACCTTTACCTTTTATACTCGTGTTCTATCAATGCAATGACCAATGGGGTTTAAGGTGGCCTTTATTTAGACGTGTGTTGTACAAACAATGAATGAATGAATGCATTATGATCTTACCAAGGTAGGAAAAGGCTATTACTAAAATGGGGTGAGGGGGATTACTCAAACACTAAAGTCCAGAAATATAGCTGTTATTTCTACAAACTCATGATACTCAAAACACACACGTACACATTCTTTACAGAAGAGAACAACGGCTTACTTAGACTCCCTCCTACTACAAAAGCTTGTATATCCCTGCTTCTACTCCTTGCTAGGAAGGATACTGACAGATAAAAAAGGGAAAATTGCTGTTTACAAAATAAGGAAAGGTGTGTGGCAGTATGGAGAAGCTAAAGAAAGTGTTTGGAAGGCCATGTGACCAAAGAATCTTGGGTGCTAGTGACAAATGGTTTATCCTGGGATTGCTGGGTCTAGAAATAGGTGGAGAAGAAAAGGAAGAAGGAAAACAACAATGATAAATGAAATAAAAGAAAGAGCTGACTTCACAGCAACAGGAACCCAAATGGCATCACTTCCTGGTTGGCTTGCAAACCACGTTTAGTTCTAAATCTGAAAAAGGGGAAATTACCTGAAGCCACACCTTTTGTTAAGAAAAAATAAAAAAAGGCTTCTGGACTGGCAGGTACGAAAAGACTACGTGGAAACTAAGCTTTTTGGAACTGAGAACACTGTCATGGCTGTGCTTCTCCCTTTCCACCCAAGCAGACCAACACAAAGCTTTTGAACCAAGGCTTCTGGAGAAGCCAGAAATTAAACTTGTAATCTTTATATGCAAATAGTGAGCTATTAGGAACCCCAGAACAGTCACAGTTTGGTTACGTGAAAGGATGGGGATGGAGAGTCTTGCCAATGGAGCTTCTTCTTAAAGATACCAATAAGATAAGAAGTCGTACATTCTGCTCAAAACTCTTTTTGGTAAGCCCGCTTAAGCTCACTTCTTGACTACCCTTCTTGGATGCAGCATGGATAATTCACATGGAGCCCCCTGCGTGGCCTCGCAGGTCAAACTACATGTCTCCATGAATGGAACCCAGCTTTGAGATTCAATGGACACCTTACCAGGGTTGATAAAACTTTCTTTGTATTGATACAGGTAACAGATTGCTCTGGGTAAATGCAGCAATGAGATGGCTCAGAGGAAAAGCATGGTGCAACTCTGGACCAGGAGTTTTGAGATAGGCCCTAGAGTAGAACAAAGAATTGTGCTAGGAAGGAGCCACAAGAAATAACATGAACATCTGTCAGACCTCAGAGTATTTTCAGAGCTGAGGAGAAACAGTGCAAGCTATGCCAAAGCAGAAAGAATGGACAATAATGTCAGGAAATGCAAGGGTTTGAGAGGAACAGAACAAGAAACTTGATGGCACAGAAAAAAGACCCCTCTGAGTCGAAACAAAGGGAACTGTTATTTGGTTCTGGAAACTGAATAAAAGGCTTAGGAATGGTCCATTCTTAAATAATGAATAATTTTGCATCTATCTGGCTATACAAGGTACTGTACTGCAATATTCAAAACTAAACACAAGGTGTTATAAAGGGTACTCAGGCAGCATACTCAGGCAAGTTTTGGGATTGGGTTATTGAAGGGTATCATTTGGGTTAGTTGACTGGGCGGTAGCACAGCAATCAGGCAGACATCTGCATGTTCTTCTGGTCACTGGGAGCAGCATTCTCTAATCTAAGAAAGGAAGAAGCAAATATATAGCCTGCCTTCTTTGCCTCTATAGAGGCTCCAAAGCCATGACACTATTCATGTCAGCTTTTCGAGTGGTGCCTTCTAGAACAAAGCCAGATCCTTCAGACAAGGCATTAGGCTATCAGAGCACCCAGTGACCAGGTTCACATGATCAGTTGGAGTCACAATGGCTGTGCCTGTGCTCTCCTGATGTCTGAACTCAGCAAGCTGGGTTGTCGCCATGGTTAACAAAACTACCAGAATTCAGAGGCAGCTTTGTGGTTTTGGGTGACTAGTTCACCATGCCAATGATCCACACTTCTCAGGTTCAGATGTCCTTACAGGTGGCAGCTGGGTTCTAGGTGTAGGATGCCACACATTGTGTGAATGCAGCCAGCATAACACATGTCAGGGGAGCAGCACATCTGAAGCTCCTCTTTAGCACCACTGCAGATTTTGAGTATCAAGTGTAGGCAGACTTGACAGCCTTCAAACTTGTGGCAAGAACTTTCTGTCCCCAGTAAAATGCACGCAGAATTCTGCAGTAGATCCTTTCCAATAACTATGGGAATAATTGATTGCAGATTTTCTAGCCCTTGTATTCTTACCCAAGCTCATTGACATATATAGGGCATTTAGCAGGTTTAGCATTCCGTGAACAAAGCAAACACATTATGGGAAAAACAACTATGCTGAAGATATTGCTTCGTTATTGCAATGGACCACAATTATATCATCTGGTCCATGAGTGTTTGGGGATCTAATGGATGTATAGAACTCTTAGAATTGAAAGATTTAGCCATCCACTTTGCGATATACTTTATCAAGCTAACATTTTATTCTATGCATTTTAAACAGATTTGTCACTGGGATTATATAATTCCAGATCTAGGCTGTACTCTGGGATTCATTAACCTGGGGGTAAGGATTATTGAGCTAAATAGTGCTTATGTCTGAGTAGATTTGTATAGGTTTGCACTGTTAAACTCATTACAATATATAATTGTATTTGTTTTAATTTAGTTTTGGAAGGTAAATACATGGAATGAATGTAAGGAACGCTCAACACATTGTTTCATTGCTATAAAACAATGTTTTGTTTTATACAGTCTCCAAAGGGTGATTTGGAGAGGAAAAGCAGCTGTTGTGGGTGGTGTTATTGCTTAACTCATTCCTAACCCGCTTTTTTATTTGTATGATTAGCATTAATATGCAAATTAGATTTCCTGGATATGGAAAACTGGTATATGGTGACCCTAACTTCAGCCAAAGGTCCGGTTTCATGACCACACAGGAATGTATGATCAAAACTGGAAATATATGGGGTTCCTTGTGTACTCACAGGAGCAATCCCACTACAGCTATAACCAGTACTGTATTCCCTATTTGGATTGTTACTATTATTTATTGCACCTTCAGTTCCTTTATGTAAATACTGATCTGAAGTTATCCATTCTTATATTCAAATTACAGTTTGCAGTAAATACTAAAAGCCCTGAATAAACTAGGCTTATATATCAAACTCTTTTACAATATACATTGCAGCCATCACTGCTATTTTTGTTCTTGTTACAAAGTAATTGGCATCACTAATATAGGTAATGACAACACATGCCATTAACTAGTCCTGTTTGTGATGTACTCATTTTTGTTTAATCAAAGTTCCATTAATATGAAGACAATGTACGATGGTCTTATTGCATTAAAATTATGATTAATGTGGCTAAAATGGAACTTGTAATTAATGCTACATGTTACTCTTCAATCACACCAGGTTTCTGATTAACTTATTTTGAGAGCTCATACCTGTGATCATCAATTACATGTCTACTCACATTGAGCTAACTTTGCTAGAAACCCTGTTTGTTTAAACTGGACTTATTTGTTTGAGAGTGGTTTTGCGTACCAAGCAGCTTAGACT